GATCTTTATGAGTATGAGAATTGATTAAACTAAATTAATAATTTTAATATATAACTCATAAAGCCAGTTGGATATACATAATTCTGAGGTTAATATAAAATCTTACCTCACTGTTTTGAAATATAAACATAATGTTAAAATAAATATAAATATAGAAATTGAGCCATCTCTGCTTTCTAGTATTGTAACTAAATAAAATCAATGTGGTTAACTTGTTATATATATATCTAAATACATATATAACATCTTAAAGATTTGCAGGTATCTGCGGTAATTATAGTATTATAGTCCCATCTTAACTCTTTTGTTTCCTGACAGTAGTTCCTTATATCAGTTAAACCAACAAACCAACGATTTCTCATCACCTACTTTGTTCATAATAATCTGTAGTAGTTTCTAAATGCATGAAATTGAATATTATTATTCAAGTCACGATTTAGACAGGTTAACCGAATGAATGAATAATGATCAACTAGCTTTACGAAATGCCGAATATGATAATCTGATATAATATAATCATCCGTCGCCGACCTAACCCGTCAGAATACGGCGGCCGTAGCAACGAGTACATCTCACCATATGACAAACATTATCAGTAACCCATAATACCTATACAACAGTTCATGTACCCGATTGATTTCATAGGTTAGGTCCGAGAGAATACGTAAATATATGCGAACTTCTTCATCTCTTGTATGTCATCCACCTGAACAACCTTCTCATCATTGAACATGACCCACCGAGTACCATTACTTCCTGGCACGGCCTTACGCACAATTGCGACATAGTGCCTGTTAAACGTTAGTTCATCCCGTACAAGTTAGCAGACATACATACCCAGCATGCACAGATGAGCCTTTGTGGCACACTATTGATTGCAATTGGTATTTTGCTGGCGTGGCATCAGAGTCTAGATGTATATCACTGGATTCAGGGATGTCAGAGTCTGAACCGATGTCCATTGAATCCTCCGGATGGGTGAACACCCAATCAATTGCCCTGTTGAGATCCCCCTCCGTCGCTGCCAATGCCCTCCTAGCATGACCAGAATTTATGCCCATTTCAGTCAACTGCGCAACCTTAGCTGGGTCTTGCTGGCTCCCTGAGGTGCTGGTAACCACCTTATCGAGCGGCTCGTCGATATCAGGGTCTTCCATGTGAGCAAAGAGCCAGTTCATAGCAGCCTCAACATCCGAGTTGCCGGTCACATAAAGCGCCCTTTCGCACCTTGTATTCGGAAAACCCATGCCGACAAGCTGTTCCATCGCAATTTCATTGGGCTTAAACGTATTTTCAGGTTCCTGAATGTCAGGGAGAAGCTCCTCATCTGGATTGGGCCCGGAGGAAAGGTAAGTACCAAAGTCTATTGGCTCCTCATCAACTTCTACCGGAATATTCAACTTTGTGGGTACCCAATTTATCAGTTCGAACCTCCGCGCATTAATAACCAGTTTCTGCGGTAGGGTTTTGAATGAAGATTGCTTATTGAACCCCTCCGTGGAACCGCAGGACGGGCAGCTGAATTCAACAACTTCCTCGGCTGTAAAAGCATCCAGACATTCTGCTAGAGTGACACTCTCATACTCGTTTGTGGAGCCAGAAGCATTTGCATCGGGGAGCCGACGAGCGGGAACAGGGATCGAAATGTTATCTTGTGCGTCAGCCCTGTAACGAACCTTCTTGCACTGCAAACATTGGAGACGCTGTTGCATAGAGAAGCCGAACGAGGTGATTGGGTTATCTAATCCTCCGGGATGCTTGGACAAGTTTATCTGCTTGAAGAGGTGAAGCATGAACTCGAACGCATCCTGTTGTCTCATCGTAGAGAATTCTTCATGATTACGGCCAACGAGATGCTTGAACATGGCGGGTGCTAAGCCCTTTTGATGAGGAACTTCAGCTGAATCAGGGGAAGACCTGACATCGCTATCGGGTCTGGAGTATCTGCCAGAGAGGATGCCGTCGGCCAGCTTCCGCAGTTGGGTTTCAAGGTCCTCCGCTGGCCTTTGCGTGTGCGGCGGCTCGCTGTTAGGATGGTAATATCGTTTTTGGAACTCAGGCAAGGCGAAAAGGCATTGGACAACACTTGAGAGATAACAACTGTTTCCTAAGTTAGTCAAGCCGGTTAATCCTGGCCCAAACACCGGTGTAAGTTCATGGCCGTCCTCAGAAGTCATCGAAAATTCCCATCTCATATTTTGCTCAACCTGCATCTCCATAAGGCTTTTCTCTGTCTTCTCACGGCCCGCTAGATTGATGCCCCAATTAGCAAGATGAGTAGCCAGGTTAGGATCGGTCCTTTCTTCGTTGCATCTATAGCAGTACACGTCTGCCGAGCCATCTGCAGTTATAGAACCCAGCTTCACTGCAACGGCATGCGATTTTATGTCAGAATGCGCAAGTGCATGCGAGTTTCCTCCAACTCCGCCAAACTGACTGCGACCGCAGCCAAGGTTGCCGCATTCTAGACATAGCCAGAGGTTCTCTTTCAGGTTACACATGGAACACTGGACTAGCTCTGCCCTCCAATTGTGAGCATTATGATAAGGTTAATGCAGGGGAAGAGGAGGAACGCACCCTTAGATTCAATCTGTCTTGACGCTCCCTGGATTAGATTTATGGTATGCTCGCAGGGGATGAACTCCTGCTCCCAGGCCTTGACTTCCTCTCTTTTGGAGAAGGTCATCGCTTTCATCACGCCGTCAATTACAGCTGGCAGCCTACCTCTGGATGCATCGAGATCATTCTGACAGCAAGGATAACAGACAACACGTGTTTTCGTGACATAACGGTCCTCATCGGTTTCAGCGGCGATTGCAAGCTTCGAAATCTTCTGTGGTGGCTCATCCCTCTGTAATTGCACCCTGTAAATCACATGCGACCAGAAAAATATAATACAAACAAGTGACATTGGCACACACCTGGACGTTTTTACGTGATCTTTTAATATTGAGCGCTAGAGGGTGACTGCAACGTTCATAGTGGAGAAAGGCATGATTTCTATCACCAGCGCAGCCTCCATTGAAACATGTTAAGCAAACATTAAGACCATGTTCCTCATCCTGGATATTTTGTTAGGTTTCGAATTGATAGGACAACGATGGGTGCGCACTATTGAGTCGAAACACTGTGTACAGTCTTCCCGATATACAACCTGCGACGAAGCTGGAATCCTCAGCCCTGCGATATAGATATGGTTAGTTACCTGTATGAGCACCGTACTCCAGCTTTAACAACAGACGTCACTGACCTTCAGACGTGACATGGCAACAAGAAGCCATCTTGAGTAGAACTGAAAGCTAATATGGAAGCCTGATATAGCTTATTAGATAAAAGCAATCAGTCCGGAGCCAAGATGCAATGACATTCAGCAAAAGAGCATGCGTCCTTTCCATACAGAGAAGTTATTGTATGAGGATAAGTTGGCAGGTGAAGTTCTTCAAGATCTGCTTTGCCGAAGCTTTGACTGTCAGGTATGTAGAAAGGTGGGGCAAAGTGGGAGAGAGATCTTCATCCTAGATAGTGTATTGTGTAGACGGAGTACCAGTTTCTTTATGGGGTGTTACGGCGTATTACGACATCTACTCGGTTTTAGACCATTAAACACGTAATATTTGCATTCCGAAGTGGGGTAGATGCTTAACGCGCTCCTACCGCGTACTACTCCGGGTCGCGTCTCCATTCGTTGTTTATGCAAATGTCGCTCCAGCAGTAACAAGATTGTACCAGAGCCATCAAAAGCGCCACTACTACTTGTTCATCATTCTACGCTCTGAATCAACACCTCCCAGAGGCAACTGTTTGTGTGTTTCTAACATCATAAGTCTGTTGGACGGAACAACGTTCCCCTGAAACTATTCCAGATGTCTTCAGAAGCAGCATCTCAAGTCTCCGTTGGGGCACTCAGGTCAGTTTCCTGGAACTCACTGTGCATTATCTCACTAATATCCCTCAAGCGCTATCTTCGATGATACAAAGCCTCAAACGCGTGAGCCTGTTGTTCAGTGTGTCCAGATAAAGCCATTGCCAGCTCAGCAGAGCCACCCGGAACGCTACCGAGCTGTATTCAGTGATATTTCAAATTATGTGCAGACGATGCTTGCGACCCGTAAGTGTGCCATAGTTCTAATGGATTGCCAAAGAAACTGCTAATATCCTTGATCTTCCAGAATTGAACCCCATGGTTTCTAGTAAGCTATTACGGAAGGGGTGTTTCGTTCGCCTGAAGTCATTCCAAGCGAACTCCGTGAAAGGCAAAAAGTAAGTGACCACAAACGTCTTCATCACCAATAGTATACCTGACCTACGAGGCAGGATTCTTATTATTCTCGACCTTGAAGTCTTGGAGGGACTAGGAGAGGCCGAGAAGATTGGCGATCCGAAACCACTCGAAAGTAAAACAGATGAAGACGAGAAGCACCAGCCCACTACAATCTCCAGCAATGGTTTCTATGGATCGAAGATATCAGGAGCACAGGTCCAGTCAAATACCGGAGTGCAGTCAGCACGACCTGTTTTGGCCGCAACGCATGCTACTATATATCCCATCGAAGCTATTTCACCATATTCTCACAAATGGACGATCAAAGCACGCTGTACGAGCAAAACAAATATTAGGACCTGGCACAACAGGAATACCGAAGGGAGGCTCTTCAGCGTTAATCTACTGGACGACAGTGGCGAAATACGAGCTACTGGATTTAATGACCAATGCGATATGCTGTATGACGTCTTCCAGGAGGGCGGTGTATACTATATTTCCAACTGCCGCGTGCAGATTGCGAAAAAGCAGTTCACGAACCTGAACAATGATTATGAGCTCACTTTCGAAAGGGATACGGTGGTTGAAAAGGTCAGTCAGAATGCTCAGTTCAAATTGCTCTCTTAACTTACCATATCGCATTAGGCAGAGGATCAGACCGATGTTCCCCAAGTTCGATTCAATTTCACTTCTATCGGTGACCTCCAATCGGTAGAAAAAGATACTACAATCGATGTGATAGGTGTACTGAAGGAGGCCATGGATGTTACACAGATCACATCCAAAACTACAAACAAACCCTATGACAAGCGTGAGCTAATCATGGTTGACAATACTGGGTTCTCCGTTCGCCTGACCATCTGGGGCTCTACGGCGCAGAAATTCAATGCCTCGCCCGAGTCTGTGATAGCTTTCAAAGGTGTGAAGGTCTCTGACTTTGGTGGGCGAAGTCTGAGTTTGCTGAGCTCGGGTTCAATGGCGGTTGATCCTGACATTGAGGAAGCCCACAAGCTCAAAGGCTGGTATGACGCACAAGGTAGGGATGAGAATTTCTCTTCACATGCTTCCTTATTAGGCACAGCCTCATCAACGATGAAGTCGGATCAATTCAAGACCATCGCCCAAATAAGAGAGGAGCAATTGGGTATGTCGGAGGAGGCGGTTTACTTTTCGCTGAAAGCAACAGTCATCTATATTAAGCAGGATAATATGTCTTTTGCTTATCCTGCTTGTCTCTCAGAAGGTTGCAACAAGAAGGTGACCGAGCTTGATCCTGGTCAGTGGCGCTGTGAGCGCTGCGATAAGACTCACCCCCAACCTGACTACCGCTACATAATGCATGTCAATGTCAGCGATCATACCGGCCAACTTTGGCTGAGCTGCTTTGACGACGTGGGCAGATCGATGATGGACATTTCGGCCAATCAGTTAATGGAGCTGTTTCAAACGGACGAAAAAGCAGCTGGCGACGTATTCCAGGATGCCAATTGCCGGACCTGGAATTTCCGATGCCGTGCCAAAATAGACCATTTCGGCGAACAACAACGGTAAGGCGATCCGCTTTGTGGCTTAGATGGCACTGCTAATATCAACTCTCTACCAGTATACGGTATCAGGTATCCTCGGCCAAACCGATTAATTATTCCCACGAGGCTGGACGCCTTGCTGATCTGATTGGATCTTACACTGTATCTTGAATATTCTTTCAGCATGTCGAAGGCTTCTTAAGATTCCGCTTGCAAACCTTGTGCATTATATCATAACACTTTTCAACGACACATGTCCAATTGTGGCTTTGGGTTTGCGCGACATCGGCCGCTATTACTGAGATGGAATGCATGCCTCAAATAATGATTAATTCTGAAAGTTGCTGCTACTAGGTGAACAAAGAGAATATAAGCCAATGTTGATGCTGTAATACCACACTTGACTAGCAATAGCTGTGGCTTGGAATTACAAGAATAGCCACGCTGATTTGACGCCCGCATAAATTTCATTGGGAGTCCGGACGAGGGAGACTTTTGACGAATAGCGGGAATTTTCTGAATAGTCACGTACGAAAGCAGCTGAACTTAATGTTCATACACACATAGTGAAGGCAATTTCGAAAGATATTGGGCCGTTATTGATCCTCATAAACCCCTTACTGCTGCATATGTTCCAATTCCAGCAGTGTGTCCGAATCTTCCATTGGAACCTGTTGCATTCTATTTGCGCATTTAAATATACATACGTAACCTGCTAAAGAGCATATGACGAACACCAGAAGGTCATCAACTAGATCGCAGCGAATTAATAAAGTAATTAGTGTGTGCTGTTTATCTTCAACTACCCCGCAGGTAAGTAGTTAACTTTAGACTGGTAAGTTAACGTAAACTACAATCGGGCGGCCCATCTAATAATGCCATATAAAATCTACTTTTATAATTCAATATATCTCAACCATTTTTGGCCTGTATTAGACCTCGTTCCTAATATACAGACTGAAATAATAATAAGCTTTTTTATTTTTTACTCTTTATTTGTTATTAACTTCTTTTCCGGATTTTCATAATTATATATAATAGCCGGTAATATAGAATACCTGTATTTTACTTGTATCTTAAGATAATCTATATATTTGAAATTTAAAAATCTTTAAATTTTTTTTTTAATAGGTCTAGTATATTTATCTTCTAGTTGTTAATCTATATATAATACATTATAGGCCTATTGACGATGTAATTATTGAGGTATAATGAATTTTAAACAAGATATATTCTGTATGCTTGTAAGAGACTCTTCTAGGGGAAAAAGTTAATACAAGACCATAAGCTCTCATTACCCGCAGATACTCTGTGGACCCCTAGAGTCCCCTATATATATTCAGGTACACACGGAACAAGGCAGGGATTCTTGTAAGGACTCACTTTCTTACAATGCTATTACAAGATGGGCCCCGCGATTGTGGTTTATGTTACAGCTTTGTCCTTATGACTAATTGCCCTCGATTTGATGACAAATGATGACGCTGAATGCCGTACTGCACAACCGAGGCGCATAACCAGAGAGCAGAATAAAAACCGTTAGGAGAAACTTGTAAAAACAAACCTTTAAAGAGTCAAGCAAAGATGGGGAGCATCATGAAAGCCATCGGTTAGTTGCTTTGCCTAGACTCTCGAGCGTGATTTGCTAAAAACACCCAGATATCCAAGGGGGCAAAGGAAGTGCCGATGCTCTGTTCGTTGACCAGATCCCAATACCAAAGCCCAGTCCTGGCCAGGCTTTGGTCAAGATCAAAGCATTCGGGCTAAACAGAATGGACTTGCTCCAGCGCGAGGGGAAATACCCTGTTCCTCCGCAAGCTCCTAGCACCATGGGTGTCGAATTTTCTGGAGTAATCAAGGAACTTGGCGCAAACACAAACAATGGCTTTCAAATTGGTGACAGTGTTTTCGGCCTAGCCTATGGCGGTATGTGCCATCCATTTTGATAGGGTGTGTAAGTATTCATTACATTTTAAAAGGGGCCTATGCGGAATACATCGTTGTGTCGACCAAGATGTTGATACACAAACCCTCAGGGTTGACATGGGAGGAGGCTGCAGGAATACCGGAGGTATGCTCGACCTCCAACTTCCCGGAAACCAATCCATAATAACCATGACACCATCTCCTTAGACCTGGATAACTGCAAGCCAGGCGCTCTACCTGATCGGTGAATTTAGCGCTGGAAAGTCCGTTCTTTGGCATGCAGGGGCTTCATCCGTATCAATTGCTGGGATCCAACTTGCAAAGATTGGCAAAGCATCTGCTGTCTATGTGACTGCAGGTTCGCAAGAAAAGATTGACTTTTGCGTACATGAACTCGGGGCTACTGCTGGTTACAACTACAAGACTCAAGACTGGGCCTCAGAGATTCTGAAAGAAACGAATGGCCGTGGAGTCGACATTGTAGTCGATTTTGTGGGCGCCACACATTTTCAAGGTAATCTTGACGTGGCCGCACGGGACGCACGTATTGTCCAACTAGGACAGATGAGTGGTTCCATTTTGCCTGCCAATACTGACATCAGTGGAATCCTGAGGAAGAGATTGAGGTTTGAAGGCAGCACTCTTCGAAGCAGGGATGAAGACTACCAGGGGAGACTGCGTGATCTTCTGGTGGACCATGCTTTACCCAAATTCAACGACCAAACTTTCAAAGTCTTCATCGACAAAGTTTTTGCATTTGAAGAAATCGCGGATGCCCATAGGTTGCTCGAGAGCAATCAAACCAAGGGAAAACTAATATGCACAATTGACTGAATGCAAATTGACCCGGTTGAGAAGCCAGCAGCTGACTCAAAGGTGGAAGTGGACACAGTTGGCGTATATACAAATAAATTAACAATGAGGTCACTACGAAGGCAGCCAATGTAGAGAACGTAGGTCTAGTGTAGACATACTATTGTATTGGCGAACATACCCCAATGAGTGCCCGCAAATTTAAGGTTTCCCAAATGGTCTCTGGGCCTTTTATTGTTCTATTTTCGAGTGCCACTGAGCCATTCTGAGCGTTCCTAATTTGAAAACCTCGGGAATATGACTATGTACATACTACTACGACTACTACGACTACTACGACTACTATGACTACTACGACTACTACGACTACTACGACTACTACGACTACTACGACTACTACGACTACTACGACTACTACGACTACTACGACTACTACGACTACTACGACTACTACGACTACTACGACTACTACGACTACTACGACTACTACGACTACTACGACTACTACGACGACGACGACGACGACGACGTACTATTATTGCGACGGAGTAGTTCTACTATGTAGGACTCAAAGGCTAGATTGACATTCGCGGTGCAGACCGGACTAACTGGATTGGGATTAATGAGTGGGGCTGAACAGCACTAGGGCAAGAGCTTTAACTATATGGGGTACTTTATCCCGGAGCAAGGTTTTGCTCCAGACGGGAAAGGCCAAAAAGAAAAAGAAAAAAAAAGGTCAATTAAAAATAAAAGTATCCCAAGGGCAAATCGAAGGCGCCCTTAATATTCTATCGAGACGCAGCTGATTTTCTTTTTTTGCTTTCCCCTCCTTTCCTCTTTGTTACAAAAGATCGTACACATATATTCCACACCTAAAGTTGAGAAAGTTTAAGGCAACAACGAAGACAACATGGCCAAGCGTGAACTTCAAGATAAGGGTAGCACTGAGCATAGGGCGAAAAAGAAGTCAAGAAACGAAAAGCACACAAAGAAGGCTGAGGACTCCCAAGCCAGTGCGCAGTCCTCTGAGACGCAGTACACTGACCCGAAAGAACCTTCACCAGCAGTCATAGAGAAGTTTCTCGAAGAAAACTCTGTCAAGATAACGGATACTTTAGAGGGTGCAACGAAGCTTCATCCCATTACCTCTTTCTCTCACCTACCTACCTGCAACAGTGCACTGTACCGTCCTCTTGAATCTTTCACTTCTCCGACTGCCATCCAGTCAGCAACCTGGCCTTTCCTGTTTTCTGGCCGTGATGTAATCGGCATTGCTGAAACTGGGAGTGGTAAGACGCTTGGCTTCGGCTTGCCGTGCCTGAAAAACTTACAAGACTCGGCGAAGAAGGGAAAGCCTTATAAGCCGACAGCGGTGATGATTTCCCCAACGAGAGAACTTGCAATGCAGATACATGATCAGATCTCGAAATTTGCAGAATTAGTGGATATCAAGGTAGCTTGTATCTTCGGGGGTGTGAAGAAAGAGGAGCAGCGTGAGGCTTTGAAGACAGCGGCTATTGTCGTGGCGACGCCAGGAAGACTGAAGGATCTTCAAAATGATGGCTCGGTGGATCTAGGAAAAGTCAAGTATCTTGTTCTGGATGAAGCAGATCGCATGCTGGACAAAGGTTTCGAACAGGATATCAAGGATATCATCCGCCCCATGCCGGTGTCAAAGCGCCAAACTGTAATGTTCACTGCGACCTGGCCCCCAGTGGTTAGGGATCTTGCTGCAACGTTTATGACTTCTCCTGTGACGGTCACAATTGGTGGAGAGCCCTCGGCTGATCCGCGCGCAAATACTAGGATCAAGCAAGTTGTTGAGGTGGTGAAGCCGCACGAAAAAGAACAGAGGCTTGTGCAGCTATTGAATAAGTATCAGAAGGGCCCATCCAGCTCGGATAAGATTCTGGTGTTCTGCTTGTATAAGAAGGAGGCTGTGCGTGTCGAGAGACTTCTTTGGAATAAAGGCTTCAAGGTTGCCGGAATACACGGTGATTTAGGTCAACAGGAACGATTCAAAAGTTTGGAATCCTTCAAAAAAGGCGTCTCAACCGTTCTTGTCGCAACTGATGTGGCAGCTCGTGGTCTCGACATACCCTCAGTTAAGCTTGTCATCAACGTTACGTTTCCCCTGACCGTTGAGGATTACGTACATCGAATTGGCCGGTTAGTGAAGTACCTCGTCCCTGTATGTTGAGTATCGCCTACTGACTGGCCCAAAGGACCGGCCGTGCTGGAGCTGAGGGCCATGCCATCACTCTATTTACTGAGGTTGACAAAGCTCAGTCTGGAGCGTAAGTAGTCATTGTCTTGGAAGCATTCCGATCAAACTCAACCGAGACTGACATGTTATAGTTTAATAAACGTTCTAAAAGCGGCTAATCAGGATGTACCCGAGGATCTTCTCAAATTCGGGGCAACGGTTAAAAAGAAGCAACATGACGCATACGGCGCCTTTTATAAGGATGTCGACACCAATAAGACATCAACCAAGATCGTTTTTGACGATTGATGATGGCTTATTCGCTTTTGGACTTTGGAGTACTGGATGTTTTAAATTTCACCAGCTCGTGGGCTTTTGTGTAATAGATCAACAAATATTTCCGCTCGAGATAAGACCTATCCTCACCATTAGACTGTAGCTTGCATATAAAGTTGTGGAACTTACACGAGAAGAATATACATAGCTCCAAGTATCAGCGCATCTCTCGTCCTATAGATATCAAGAGCATATAGAACTCTTGAGTTAAGAACTATAGACATCGTGATACTGGCGATACAGGTAAGCGGCCGTGGGCTAAGTTCAGAAATAGCGATACCGCTTCCGTGTCGAGACATGAATGTCTGAATAAAGGAAAAGCTCCAGACGATACGAACTGCCATGTTAACAATATTGGCATAAACCATTCCGTGGGCACCGAGAGCGCCAACTTTTAAGAACAAGTACGCCGCGGATGCAAAGCATGCTGAAAACACACCCATCCATACCGCTTGTCTGCGTAATTCTGCTGAGTTTGCTGCTGATGAGACAAATGCTTCACTTATACCATTATAAGCCAGAAATGGTATATAATAGCAATAAAGTGAAAGCAGGCTGCTGATCCTGGGTGAAGCCCAGATGCGCCCGCCTAACAGATGTAGCAATTGAGGTGCCAGAACTGGACCGAGGGGAAATCCCACAACAGCCATCAGACTATATGCACGAAGAACTTCTGTCAACTGAGTTTTAGCAGCATTGATGTTTTCTACACGTAGATTCCCGCTCCCGCCAGAGTTTAGCAGTGAGGAAAAAAGCGTTCGACTGCTTTCTTCAATGGGCTGAAACAAGACGCGAGCCAGGAGACCACCGTAATTAGAGGCTAGTGCATATATGCCTTGATCTTCTAAGCTCGTCATTGTTGCCAGCATCATAGAATCACCCTGGGTGAGAAGATGTTTCACCACCGACTGAAAGAACACATTTGTGGACAGTCCTATCATCGGCCATGAGAATCTCCCCATGAAATAATCTGATCTGTGCCAAGACATTTGTTATCAGATAGAACATTGCAAGTTTAATTTTCCATGGCCTACCTTGACTTTATCTTTGTGGGAAACATAGAAAACTTCTGCTCGTCTGCAACCCTCGGTAGGGCTAGTATATAGCCGCAGATGAGTGTGGAAGAATAACAGAGATAACCAATTGAAAATGGGAGCACGCCAATGCTGTGGCCGGTCCTGGAAGCCCATGCACAAGCAAGGCAGGTCGTAAGGCTTTTTACAAAGGCTGCACTCATCTCAACAACTGCACGTTGTCTGTGTAGCATATATTGCTGCACTACAGTGAAGAAGGGCTCAGTGGAGAGCTCCATAAGGGATGCAACGGAAGTGATGATCACGCTTGCGTGGTAATAGGGTAACTCTGACACCTCTCTCGAAGCCAGCTGTATATAAGATGTAGCAAATGCCATAGCGAACAAAAACCCCAGGGCGAGGCTCAAGTAGGACATGTTCACTACTGACTGCAAGGCTATGTTTCGGGCCTCAGATACATCATTGCCCTTTTTGGGAGCTGTACCAGTGCTATCCTTGTGGGAAACCATGGTGAGGGGCTTGAGTTGCAATGGCTGTCTTTGAATAGCCATTCTGATACTTTCCCTGGAGAAATATAATATCGAGATGAAATATAGCTCCAGTTGGGACGCAACACCCATGATGGCTGGAGGCAAACTCCTTAAGACCAGCTGATTTGCGGTGAAAGTGAATATCCTAGAGGCCAATTGAACGACGATCAGCATCGTCGTCCCGGATGCTGATGATGCCAGCATTGCGCTGACATTCTCATCTACTTGTGACATGTGGACGGGAAAAGGCTCCCGGGCATCGATGACTTTTGTCTAAGAATCTCTGTGATTTCGTAAAGCTGGCCCTGCAGCTTGGGCTCGCAGCAGAAGAATTGATTCTCACTGGTAGAACCCCTTTCGGGGGAGAGGGGCAAGGAATAGAATAAAGATAAGCCCGGGGAAAGAAATCCAAATACCACTCAATGGGAGGAAGTATATGGGGTCCAGCCGAAAAGGCCACGTGCTTTCAGTGTACGAGTTAGTGGTAAGTTCCCGTTCCCGTGCTCTGGCGTTTATCTGCCAGTGTCTAAGCTCCTCCCTTCGTTTTAGTTAGCACAAGCACTGTTTGTGCGCAGCATTGGCTAAGTCTATACAATGTTACGTAATTATATACCTTACCTTCAAGATCAATTAAGCACTTTTTATGTTGTATAATCCGGTGTTCCGAGATTCTTTCGAAGCTTCTTTGCGCAGGTCTTTAGTACATTGGAGGAGTCACTTTACATCCTGGCACATGCAACGCGCATAACTCGTGCTCGATTCGAAGCCGATAAAGCGAAAGCCATGTGTGTTGACACCGAGCCACTGGCCATTGAGCTTCCTGCTCTAAGAAGGACTAATTTCTCACTGCCTACAAGGAAGCACCTATGAGGTGGCTGTAGCGGCGGCTATATTATTTCATGTTGATACACTGTGCGAGAAAATCGGAGTCTGACCCTTGTGTACCTAAGTTGCAATAGTTTACTCCATACTGAGTTTCGATAGTTTTGAGAATTGCAGAGTTTAGAGTGAGCATGCCGCCACTTTACTAGGCTCAGCGATGCCACGACAAGTTAAGAAACTCTCGGGCTCCCTTGAAATGAAGTCGCAGATAAGCCCACTGTAGACCAGTGTTTGGAACAAACGATTGATACCCGATAAATAATAGTGGTCAATGAAACAACTAATTTGCGACTCCCGCCCTTATATAGTTCATTCCATTGACCATCTAAGATGATGGTTTAAGCAGATTCTCGACGTTTGGAAGAAGAGTTGATCCACCATGTTACTATACAGTAACTACACGATAACGGAGGAGCTTGGACGAAGGAAAGGAGTTGAGATAGTAGCATACTGCTACTACCTTAGAACGACCGCTAACCCCAAGCAAACGTGTTCACACTTGGTCGGACTGAATAGCTCAGGCCGATAACGTACATAGGAAATCCTCTAGAATGGCGGAAGAAAAAACGGATATCCCCCATTCTTCGTCTTGAACACACTCAGAAGGAAGCTGTACATACCAAGGAGTACGGAACCCCAGATGATCACAGCTACCTGTTGTGCCTTGTTGTCTGCGATACGGGGCACCTTCATTGCAAGGGCAATTGTCGCAAAAGATAGGACGGCATCTGTCGACAGCATTAGCGAATTAGCATCAGATCCACATATGAGGTTAGATGTATGCATGTTATGAAGGGCAACGTACAGATGGCAGCAACAATCTGCGTCTCCATGCCGAACTGGTTTGAAAATCCACCAGCGAAGTAGCTAATACCACCTCTACCATCTCCGGCAACATATGGGACTTTGCGAATATGGTTGAACATGTGGCCACTTGTGAATAGGAGGATGGCAATCAGACTGAAAGCAGCCCACAAGTTCCGGTTACGAACAATGGGAAGGACATAAGGTGACAAAACTGTAAAAAGGGTCACAGCACCCATCAAAATGGTTATGCCGGAGACAAGTCGCATGTAGTTGATCGGACGAACAAGTGGCGGCTTCGGGCCCTCTGGAAGCTGACGGTTCATCCATGTATATAGCTGTTCAGCAGAGATAGGGCTGTAGGTCGACGTCAGTGATAATCAATCGACTAGTAGATTCAGTATATAATTACCCGCTAAAGTCAAATCGCAGAGGTGCGTCGTCAATCTTGGCGAAGGGGCCAACGGTAGGAGGAAAGACCAGGAGAACAGGCGCAGTTTGGAGCATCAACTATTCAATGCCAATTGTGTCAGTTGAAAATTCTAGACTGCTAGGCCATGTATTGCTGGATACCTTCTGAAAGGTCCCCTTTCCATCGGAAAAGTCAAGGGTCCCAAAGAGCATTTGAAGTCCGTCGGGCTTGGGACCTTTGTTCCAGCTTCGTGCTATGAGCTCCCACTCAGGTTGAAATTCGCGACAAAGAATACACCCATAGCGAGCGTCTGCGGCTGTCAAAAGCACTGCGACATGATAGTCGCGAGGCTTAGATGTTATCTCTTCGTACGATGAGTCGTTCAGTTCGATTGGGGCGGAGCGAGAGAGTGAACGATATCTCTCAAACTTGTCTGTGTCTGCGAGGCCGCAAGAAGCGGAACTGATCATGCAGAGAAAAGACAAGAGAAGGTTGAAGAGCTTCATTTTAGCATGACAATGCAATCGTCAGTTCTGGCGGTGATAAGGAGGCGGATCAGCAATCCGCGAAGAAATTGGCCATGTAGACAAGTTCATGGATGGATAGGCAGCGGAGTACTACGTATCCGAGAAGCCTAGGATGATAGGTGTCCACAACGCGTACGGCTGAGCGGGTCGCTATGCGGGTACTCCGTACTTCTTACTACGTACTAAGATGGTACCTAGATGAGTACGGCTACAGTAAAGGAATTAGACAACTAACTACATATTGCCGCTCAGTCGGGCGGAACGAAGCCGATGTTCTTTGATAGAGCCACTCTTTTAAATCCACTGGAAGCCGAATTGAGAGTAAAAGCCTATAATCAGGCGGTGTATTCCCTGCAACGCTATCCCAACAACCAAGTAGGGCGCCGATACAAACTGGTTACCCAATAATGTTGTACAGGATTAGCATGTCACAAGACAGATGGGACTTATACGTCAAGAATATCTGTCTCAGCAATACAGTGGATGATTACTTAGATCATCCTATGTTCACTAGTCGCCTCTTCAGAAACGGACTGGTTTGCGGTGATGTGCCAGCCATTGTCGATGGTGAAAGGCACCAACACAGAGTCCCAGGACGCTAAGGTTTGGGGACATCCCAGGCAATCCTTTGTAGGCATAGACCTACTCCAATTCGAGGTGTGTCAACAGTATAGTTGACTTCAGCTACGAATAGTGCTAGTCCAGCTTCAACTGTCGATGTATCCTCCGTAAATCAACCGGGAAATGTTTAGACCTTGACAGAGGTTGCTCGCCCCGATCCGCGCCCATTTACCATTTCCGCGGGAGCGCTCCGGCATCCTTTCGCGCGTCACTTGTCATTATTCTATCGAAGTTTGCCAATGCTGCAACCATGCCACTCGTTCTATCTATGAAGTGTTTGCCCGCAACACAGGGCATTGGCCTGCTTAGTTCTCATATTTTAAAGCGATTTTCATCCTCAAAACGATGGCAAGCCCGTCAGCTCAAGGATCGTTTCACAAGGGAAGCAGCAGTGCAGGGCCTAAAAAGCCGCGCGGCCTTCAAGCTCCTCCAAGTACTTAACCAATATGACCCGCCATCCTATACATCCTGATAATTTCTTTGAATAGATAGACGAGAAATACCACATCTTTGAGAGCGGACAAACGGTTGTTGATTTAGTATGATAGCCGCTATTAAGATACCTCAACAAGGGCCATGTTGATTGACAGTATAATTCACCAAATCTAGGGTTATGCTCCTGGCTCTTGGTCCCAAGTGCGTCGAGTGCAGGGTGAAGATTATGCCAATCAAAGCCTTGGCTAACACCACATCAGGTAGCAGTAGCTAGAACGCAACCACACGGCCGTGTCCTTGGCGTTGACATTATTCCGGCCCAGCCCCCCAAGGGAGTGTCTACGATTCAAGGCAACTTCCTCGACCCGAATATCCAGGCCTATGTACGCGAATTTGTGCGCGACGCCAATAGGGGTAGACCACATCCTCCAAGTACGATTTTGGATGCCGAATACGATGACACGCAGCTCAAATCGGATGCGAACGCGAGCTCTGATAAGCAAACCGACCCCAAGCAATGGGATCGCAACTACTCGGTAGATGTTGTCCTAAGCGATATGTCCGCTCCCTGGTTCCAAACAGCGGGGTTTGGGAAAAGAAGTCTAAGTGATCCGTATAACAGGATGATGAACACAAGCGGTATTAGTTTCAAAGACCATGCAGGTAGTATGGTAAGATGCTGAGTTTGCCCCATACTCGAAGTTTCCCTCAGCTGATGGGAAGTAGGATCTTTGCCACGCAGCTTTGCAGTTCAGCCAAGAAGTTCTCCGCACTGGAGGGCACTTCGTCTGCAAATTTTACCAAGGAGCCGAAGATAAGGCCCTAGAGGAACAGCTCAGGAAATTATTTCGGAAAGTCCACCGCCTTAAACCGGAATCGTCGCGCAATGTAAGCATCCACTGGCCTCGTAAAACACAGCAATAAACTGGCCTTCAAAGTCCTGAACATCTGTGCAGGAATCCAAAGAATCTTATTTCATTGGTCTCGGTCGAAAATAGTACCCAGAGTCAGGTATGTCCTCGGAAATAGATGAAACATAGTATGATGAGGTGCTACATTTCGATGGCATTTGTAACTGACCTGCCCCTTCCTTAGCATCAAACCGGGCTCAGTCATATCTCTTCTGCTGAATCGAAGTCCTCATCCCATTCTACGTCAGCAAGTGAAGCCTCTGCTGTAGCATGCACCTTGGGATATTGTCAGTGAATTGCCTAAAGCCAAAAAGGACAAGGAAATCCGGAGGTGGCTGGAGTTCGCATAACATAGGACAAGGACAAAAGAAGGGCTACATGGAAAGAATGGATAAACGAACCTCCTTGAGACCGCTCAGTTCTTCAACGTACCCAGGCTCATTCAAAGCCCTTAGAACGAAATCCCAACCGCCCTCTTCGTAAGCGCGGGTGATGTTATCTGAACAAGCGCTGCAGTGTTTGTAGCTTCTGCCCGTGACTGGAATATTTTCGAATGTTGCAAGGAATCCCCTGACTTGATGTGGCACGAGTCCCAGTGGATGGTCTCCTCGATCATCACTGCGCGAGGTCGGGGCCGGTGCTGCAGCACCCAGAGGATGTTGAAGAAGGGAAACAAGCAACTCTACCAGTAAAGCCGAAGCTATGGCGGCCACACCAGGCCGAGTAACGGTACATTGCTGATCAAGTGTTTGATCTTTGACAGACTTCAAATATTTTAGCATAGCGACCTCTAGGCCGGAGTGGCTCTACTCACGTTCATTGGTGCAACGACATCGTTACAAAAGTAGCACCCGAGTTCTGTTGGTGGCTCTGCAATCGCTTTGATTCCATGTCGCATAACCACATAAGAATCGAAACCGAGGGCCGCATTCATAACGATCTTGCCAGCTGCCTTCCCCATGACCGTTGGCAGCCAGCGTGCTTCGCGCGTATCCATTAGGAGAAAAATGGCATCATGCTCTTCAACAAGTCTCTGGAGTACCTCAAATTCTGCCCGGGACTTTTCAGCATCAATGACAGGGTGTCCAACCATGGGTACAGAGAGGACATGGC